ACTGAAGGAACAAATGCTTTAAATGCATTGCTGGGTGCTGATACGACGAGTATTAAAATTTCCAGTAACTGGTCCAATGCAGGACCAGCAGAAATATTTTCCCTATAAATGAGATAATTTATATTTTTTATTAAAATCGTGACATTCAATCCTTAGAAGGCAATATATTTTCTGTTTAATATTCTATAATAAACTATACAATTTTCTTAAAAATAATAAAAATTTTTATTTTAACCCTAATCTCAGGACAAATTTAATATAAGTGAATAAAATAAAATAAAATTCATAAAAAGTATTATTTAGTAAAATAAGAAAATTAACGAACATATTTTTATTATTTGTAATAATCTAATATTATTTTTTGAGAATTAAATAGTTTTTTGCTTTCATATTATAATACTTTATACAAACCTGGTATAAAGTTGCAGCATGCCTTGAACCGCGTTTTGCATAAATTCAGGACCTAATTGTTGTTGTAATACTGAAAATGCCGAGTGTAGAAAGCTAAGTAATAATTCACATATACTCTGACACCTTATCACATAAGACAATAATTCTAATGTCCTGTTTATTATTGATTCTAAACATGAATGCAACATCTTTTTTATAATCGTTGACGATGACGCACAATCTTCTAGTAGCTGAGTCAGTGGCATTATCGTAATCGAAATTGTCGATTCAGAAGGCACTGGTTGCCCTTGCATACCCAAAGGTGCTGATAGAGCTAATATCATAGTACCTAAAAGCAAAACATTTTAAATTTATACATATTTTTGTTAAAGAAAAAGATAGTTGGTTTACGAAATAATGACTTACCCAACAACCTTTGCCTTGTTGCTGCATCACCAGGTGGTAATATAATCCCATTTATCAATGCCCTACGTAGAACTTTAATTGTATCTGATTTCAAGTACGGATACGCGCCCATAGAAATTAGATTCCGGAAAGTTGGTTGGTCCCATAAGATGGGCTTTAAAATGGCGGTGATACTTTGGAAAAGATGAATGGCAGAGTGAATGAGATTTGCAGGAGGTGAATGATCACAGGACGCAGTGTACGTTGTTGCCCAAACACACGAATCGATGCAATGTTGACAGAGCGCTTCCTTAGGTTTTTCCGATCTTCTGGCTATCCAGTGACACCATGCTTGAAGAGAAGCCAAAAGCTGTGAATGTCTAATAGCGCAAATCAATACATAACAAGTACATCATCGTTATGGCTATATATTATTGATTGTTCATATAAGAACACATAAGAGATAGCCAAGAACTTACACTTCTATGAGATCTATTACGATAGCAGATGGTTGGATCGCCGCTTTATATAGTTGATTATCTCTCGCAAACATACACGCCTCCAGAGTTTGTGATACAACTTCCTCTGCTAAGCTTTGATCGATATTTGTTTGATCTCCTATTGACACAGATAATTATATTTTTTTGTAGAATCAAAAACTGATAAATCATTTAACTGCTTACCGATGAAAAGAGAATATAATCTAGTTAAAGCTTGTGTAGTTGATGCAAGATCTCTCAGATGTGCATGCACATTTGATGCCTCTGTATCATTTAATAAAATAACTTGGCCATTAGCAACTGCTGCGCCTAATTCACCGAAAATAATTAATCCTTCTCTCCATGAACGATACTAAAAAATATCCAATATAAATATTTTCATAATAAAGACATAGATATATTTTGCCAATTAAAAATTACCAATAGCGTAAATATCGGGATAGGGGAGATGTCAGCAATTTTTGCCAAACATTCTATATTGCATCTTAGAAAGTGTTGCCACTCTGTTTCTTCCTGAAAAAAAGATCATGAAATTTTCTACAAATATAATATGGATATAATTATTGATATATATAATCTTAAATAAATATAATTATTGATCTATATGTAATACATAAATATTAACAATTATATATATAATAATTAACAAAGGATCGTTTTCTATGGCTGAATTAGTTTGCACTTTTGGAACTTGTAGTAAGATAAATATATGTTTGATATTCGATTGAAAACAAGAAAAAGAATTCTAGTGCAATTTAGTGCAGGAATAAAAAACAGACTTTATATAATATTTAATTACTAATAATTATATTTAGAATACAGGCATAATTATTGATTTAAGTAAAAGTTTATACAATTCTTGTAATTAAACTTACATTCTCGTCTAGACTTTCCGTGTCGAGATCTCTCAATACTCGAGCATTAAGCTTGAAACTCATTTTTTGTAAAATCCGTTCCGCAAGGGCTAAGGCGACGGCAGAATATCGCGATTGAGTGCTCTCCAAAAGAGTTGTCCAAACATCTAGACAACGCAAATATCCATTTACAGTAGAAGCTTGCTGGAATGTATGATGGCACAGTACTTCCAATAATGTATTTACTGGAAACTTTGAGCTCGACTCCATCCTTTTCATGTGATTTGTTATAAATAATTGCAAAAACTCTGTCATTTTTTCCATGTAGCTGAAAAAATAAAAATTTTATTTCGCATATTGAGAATTTATCAAGATTCTTTAAAAATGCATTTGATGCGTACCTCTCTTCTACCGAATCCAGACGTTCCATTAACTGGAATAAACCAACACCATTCTGAAATATCTCCAATAACAAAGTGTCAGTTGCATCGGGCGAACAGAATGGTCTGTATAAAAGCTCGTTGATTGTAGTTAAAGCTTGAACTGCCATCTCAATTTGCTTGCTATTCTGTGAAAACGTTGACAAATACATAGTTTCTCAATCTGCTACTATACATTCTTCCATGGAAATAAAATCTTACCATTGCATCGTGATACTTGGCACATGAAAAAATGGCATCTAATAAGTTAGTAGAAATACTGCCTGACACGTCTATCCAACTAAATAGATGTGCCAGAACTTCAAGAGTAGCTGTGCACACTTCACTGGTACCTATTGCTAATCCCTCGACATCTAGTACTGCGCGGGCGGGTGCAAGACTTTGTCCACTGGTAGGCGATGGAGGTGGTGTCACTGTCCCAGAACGGCTTTGCAATTTTGTAGTTTCTTTCAAAAGAACTGTTAAAAGTAACAAAGTGAATTACAAAATCATTCATAATTTCATATGTTACACGTACATGTTTATAAGGTATCCTCAACTTTGGTAATATACCTGTAAGTGTATCCAAAGTTAGAGGCACTTGTGCACTTAATAATCTGAACAGCTCGCTTTTCCTGTGCATTGGTAAATCCTCTCTCGGCGTGGCTAGTTCTTCTGAAGCTGTTCTCAAATATACGAGTCCCAGCAGTCTTGTGTGTTTATGGCTTAGCAACTGTTTCACAGAAACCAATGTAATATATAGCCAACTTCATATTATATAATAAATAACAATAAATAAAGGGCAAAGTAAGAGTCAACACAATCATATTATGTATTGTCTCGGTAGTCTAAAGACTTAGGACGCTCGGAATGCAAGAAATCCGGGTTCGACTCCCGCCTAAGGCAATATTTTTCGCAATAAGTTTATTACAGTTTTTTAAGATTTGGGGGGATTATTAATATTTCGGATTGATTGTGTTGAAAGTTCGACAACCATATCGGCACGCAATTATTATTTCTGAAATTAATTCATTTAAATGAATATATATAGTAGTTCA